AACTGCGGTTCGAGTCCTGGACCCGGTGGCTTAAACTCAAGTCAGGTGCATGTGCATGCATGCACAAGATCCTGAGAGGAGAATGGAGGAGAAGGGATTGCAGCGTGGCCATCCCCCCTGAGGGGGGGGGGTGATTTCTCACTTTCTGGTGATTTCTCTGTCTTTGTCTCTCTGGTGAGCACACACACCTTATAGCAAAAATCTAAAAATAAAGCCCTCTATCAAGAAAAAAAAAGAATGATCTGAAGCTCTTATAAAATGCACAATGCCAGGCCCTGGCCCAAACCTCCTGAATATTCTGGGGGACAGCCTGAGAATCAGTATTTCACACCAGATGGTCTCTATTAGGTAAGTGTATGAAATACTGACAAAGTAGGCATCCCCCAAATAGACTATTACTCTTTGAATAATACATACTGAATTGAACAGACACACAGAGCAAGGTCTCTCTCCATAAATACAGCTACCTACACAAGGAGGAAGCCTTGGGCTAGGGTCTCATTAGCATCAAGCTGTGACCAACTGGGCTAACCAGCCCTAACAACCGCACAGGAAGGGGTGAAGAAGGAATCTAAAGTTGACAGGTAACCAAAAGGGCTAAACATAGACAAGGCCACGAACTTTCTGCACCACCGAAAGGCGGCTAACTGCATGATACAGCTCTGAAGTATGAGAGCAAGTTATGGCAGAAAGAAAAGAGCTAAGAAAACAAAAACAAAAAAGTAGCCATCCAGATAATGAGGAAATAGGTTCTCAACCATCTTCGACAAGCCAACAGGGCTTGCCTACCAGATGGAGAAACCCTTTATTACTGCACTCCATGCAAGATGCTTGGCTAGATTTAGGTTGCTCACCAGTTGATTAATGGAAATCTGTTTCTATAGTCTGCGGTATTATATGATAAATGATCAAAGCCTGCTGAGTTACTAAAACCACATAGGGCATATCATGATTGAGCAAAAAAAAAGGGGAGACGTCACCTGTGGTGCTGGCCGAGACCCACAGAAAACCAAACTGGATCACAACCACACAACTAGAAAGTATTAATAGTACTGACCACTCTGGAACCCGAAGTTTCTGACTCTAAGTCTCCTTTCCTGCTCTCTATACCACACACCTCCTCTTAGTACTAACAGTTTAATAAGAACATCTGTGGTTTTATGTACCCCACACATGGAGACAGTGCTACAAGGGTATCTCAAACATTTCTTTTCAAATCAAAAACTGTCCCCAAACATCCTAGAACAACCAAATTAAACAAGGTTGCTGACCACTTAAATTCTCTATCACTGACCAGAAGTGTTTGGTGCAAATGGTTAGGAAATGTGGAGACAGGACTCTGCAAACTGAGCTTCAGTGTTTTGGTTTTTGTCTTTTGCTTTTTAAAGAGGTTTTTGCCTTCGGGTGTGTGTGCTCTTAGCCAGAGAAAGAGAGACAGATACAATGAGAGGGAGAGTGAGAAATCACCCCCCCGGGGCAATAGCCATACTGCAATCCTTTCTCTATTCTGCTTCTAGTATCTAGGGCATGCACACGCGCCTAGTGTGATTTTGAAGTCACTGGGCCTGGGGCCTTGAACCGGGGTCAGTCATGTGGGAATCCAGTGGCATAGCCGCTACGCCATCTGCTGGTCCCTGAGCTTCAGGATTTTGTAATGAGAATCTGAGTTTCAGGATTTCTTCAGATGAGAAGAGGACTCCACTCATGCTAAACTGAGAACTACAATAAACAGACGTCAACCTCAGTATTCATCTATCTGTCCTTCCTTTCTCTGAGGCTTGGTTTTCTGGTCTACAAAATGGATATAATCTCTTTCTAAGTGTGACAGCAAGGTGTCTATAAATTAATTTGCATTAAAAAAAGAAGCTAACAGCACTTAGGAAGACAGTAGATGCTCCTCCCTTGCCCGGAAATTCTCTCACCCCTCTCCTACAACCCACAGGAGAGAATTCAAGGCACAAAAACCAGGAGGTGATATTTATTCCTTAATTGAAACAAAAACAAAATGAACAGCAGATAAACCACCATGAAAAGATTCCTAACTAGACTTAAAAGCAATTATTCCACAAGACTATTCAATGGGAAGGAAACTCCCTTGGGAGTTCACTGACACCAGATTCTTTTGGCCTTCAAACCAGGAGGGACTTATGTTTTTTTTTGTTTTTTTTTTTCACTAAGAATTTAACATTCCAAAAAGGTATGTGAAGCCAGTCAAATTACTCACATAGCTCCACTTATATAACACTTACATACCACATCAGCTTTTATTTTTTCCAGATACTAGGAGATGAAGTTTGGAATATATCCCTCTGGGAGAATAAACAGAAAACTGTCTCTCTTCTTAATATATTAGTACCCTGTAATCTAGACCATATGATCAATAAACTGCATAAAAATTAAATCATAGTGACAGTCTTAGGCAAAATGCAAAGCAAGTAGAAACAATTTTTTTAGGACTGTGGTGTGTGGAATATTAAAATCATATGTTGCGTTATTAATTTTTCTTTTGGAAGCCAAATAGAGTTCTTTTGCATAAGTACCTCAAATAAATATTTATCTTACAGTTGTTTTATTTGTTTTGTTTTTTGGTTTTTTTTTAAAGGTATTGGTGACACTAATTTGGCCAGTGCTGAGGGGAGGCAGTGATCCATAAATGACTTTGAAAATAATGCCAAGGTTTTAATAGCAAGACACCTACCCTTCACCACAGATAAGTATGTGCCTCTTAAAGTAAGGTACATGGTCCTGATAGCTTACTGCTTGTTTGAGGTAAACAAAATCATTTGTTCAAACATAAGACCAAAAGCAAATAAACACAATAAACAGATAAGTTTAGAATATCAGCTTTGGGAGGGCCAGGAGGATATTTGGGGCAAAGGAAGAGCTGAAAGGTATACACACACCTCTTAGTTACACCTTCACACACATTTCCACAGCTCGGCTAAAACAGAGCTGATGGGCCTGTGTGTCTGCATTCTTTCCCGTTTCTTTTCTGTTTCATTTAATAATAAACCTTCTCTCAGGGCTGCCTTCTGAAGTCAGAAGAGTGGCGAAGAAAGACAAAACTGCTATCTTTTGGAAGCAAGTGAAACAGGATCTCCGAGGCAGTTTGGGAGTGGAATCATTGAGTTGCCTATCAGACCCAGCACTCAAGTCACAGCAGCCAGCAACAGGAACACAATGAAATTGTACAAAGCCTGTCAAGCTTGTTCTGGCTCTACTTTCTTTTTTAATCCCAAAGTAGGAGGTAGAAGGGTACCCTGAGAACAGGCAGTCTAGAAAAAGCTGACCTACCGCCAACAGTGGGAAACCCCAGGCAAGTTTACAGCAAACAGCTCCAATGTGTTTAGTGTTTCCTTGTACTCCCTCAAGACCAGGGAGAGTCCTTTAAAAATTCAATAGCTTGGTTACAAGACTTAAAGTACTAATCTGTCCCACTGTGGATGATAATAAGCCAGCAGCTTTCAGGAACATAGGCCCCCCAGTGACAATTCCTTTCCATAGCATCTTAATGTTGAATTCCTATTAGAAGTGAGAATGGGATATGCCACCTGAACTGTAGTGGCCTCTTTTCCCTTCCAGGGTGCATAGTTTTACCTACAGCTGTCTCTCCTTATTGGAAGGCCATTTTCTTATTTTTAAATGCTAAGAATCCCATTTTTCTTCCACTCTCAGTATTAGTCAGGAGGACATTGCACAGGAAGGACACTGCTGCAAGAGCCGGGAGCACAGAGAAGTGTAACTCCAGCCTAAATCGTCTTTGGTTTGCACAACCTGCGCGGACAAATCCACGGACCCGAGTCTCCGTGCAGGAGTTCTATTTTTAAGGGAAGTGAATTGGGAACACAGATGTTTCTGCAGTTAGTAGAGTTGGCAGGACAGCTCCTGGACCAAGTCCGAGTTCTTAATGCAGGAAGGGGCCTTGCAGAGACTATCTGCTTCAACCTCCTTGTCCAACCACTGAGGAAACTGAGGCCAGCGAGGCAGTTGGGTGGCACGCCCAGCAAGTGGCCGAGTGGCAGTGTTGTGATGACAAGTCCTGTGTGCTTTCCATTACACCATGATTCGCTTTAAAAAGCGAAAAAAAAAAATCCTACGCTGACTTCAACCTTGGAACTCCTGTGGATTCGTGTCAATAGCTTTCTCCCTCCCCTCCCCAGTCCATAAATCCTCCTCACCCTCCCACTCCAATTCCTGTAACTCCCACCGTTCTCCTAGCTGGAGCTTCCAACTACTTTGGAAAACAGAGATGGACGCTTGCCTCAACCTTCTGGGACTGCAATTAAATTGTGGTCCCAAAACAAGATCGTGGCTTGCTTTCCCTGGGCCTCAGTCTCCTCATCGCTGCACTGGGGCTCCTCACCCCTACTGCACCGAGTCAGGGGAAGAACGAGTTAAAGCTGATGCCCGCGATGCCGCCTCCCACCTGGCGCACAGTAGGCTGGGTACCTGGGACTCTGCACCCAGCACTGAGCCCGGGGAGAGCACGTTCTGAACCCCTGGGGGCGTTCAGGAGAGAAGCAATGTGAAAAGGCAAGCTCGCGAGCTTGGGCCAGCCAGGCAGCGAGGCGGAAGGGCTGGATGTTTACACACAGCCAGGGGAACGCACGCAGGAGCCCGGATCTCCCCGCGATCCATCGGATCAGGATGGAGGAGGACCCGCAGCTCCAGGCGGGCTCTAGCTCACAGTTTAACCAACTTCCCCTCTGCTACAAGTGCGAGCCCACACCTTCCGAGGGGTTCCACCCAGGCTTCCATCTGGGGATGACTTTTAAGGAGCGAGTTGCCCGCGAACGTATAAGCATGCCCAGACACACGCAATTACAGGCCGGGAGGTCGGGGGGATCCGGGAGGGCTGAGGCCTGGAGGCCAGGGCGGTGCGAAGGCTCCCTAGGAAGGCTGCGGAGGCCCCCTGGAGCTGACAGTACCGTGCTGCCCCAGGCCGGACTGGGGCACGCGCCGAGGGCCGAGGGGCCGAGGGACAGCGGGGCTGGGCTCACCCATGAAAAGGCAGAAGAGGTCGAGACAGATGAGCAGCACCCGCTTGCTGCCGCTCTTTCTCGGGTTGTTGTTGAGCGCTGGGCTGCCGCCGTTCTTGCTCTCCGGGACGATCGCCTTGTCGTACTTGTAGTTCTGCATGGCGCTGGCTGCGGTGCAAGCCTCCCGCCCAGCAAAGACGCCCCGGGACAACAGCCACAAACGGGTCGCCTCCTGATCGGAGCTGCTCGGCAGAGTGGCGAGTCGGCCCCGGCTCGGGGCGCAGCGGCTAGAGTGCAGCCCCGGCTACCTACTCTCCAAGGCAAACGGCGGTGTTTTCTGCTCCGCCCGTGAGCCTCTGCTTTCCTCTCTCAGCCCCTAGTCGTTCGAAAGTCCAGGGGGAAGAGAGCCAAATCTCGAGCAGAAACTTTTGCAGAGCTGTGCGGCTTGGGACGCGCGCGGGGCTGGCGTGTGTCTGTGTGCGCGAGCGAGTGGGCAGCGCGGGCGCGCGGCCACCTTCCTCCG